AATTCCTTACAATTTACCTTACAATATCCATAAAATTAAATCATGACAATGACTGACAAACACTAATGTGAACAATGGCCTTGCATCTCCTTGGAAAGTTTGGGAAGTCAGGTTTGTATGTTGTTGCCCGCACGTGATATTTTGTGGAAGAGCCACACTCAAGGGGCCAAAGAGCCCCATGTGGCTCGTGAGCCGCAGTTTGCCGACCACGGCCCTAGGAGATGTACCTGTAAACATATTGCTACGAGATGTCTGTTTCCTCCTCCTATCTTTCTGACTATTCTCTCACTTTTCCTTTTAGGCCCCTCTTCTTCTACCTGTCCCATAAATGTTGGTATTTCCCAAGGGAGTTTGGTCTTCTCTTTGACCCTCTCTATTGAAGGAATTCATCCATTCCCATGGCTTCAATTATGATGTATATGTTGATAAAATATATAAGAGTTTCTTCAGATCAGTTCTCTCAAGGATGACAAGTTCTCAGGCTCTGTCTTTTTGGGTTGAATTAGGTTCAGAGTAATAGTTCCCCTAGTTACTTCTTTGGCCATGAATGAATTATTCCCATATATTAAGGCATTTTCCCAAGATAAGCTCCAACTCACCTACTAGACATCTCACCTGGATGTCTCCCACTCACCTCAAACTCATCTTCTCCTCTTCCTGCCTAAACCTGCTCCTTTACTATTCCGCATTCGGAGGAAAACACCACCATCCACCCACCTAGCTTTCTAAGGCAGACATCTGGGCATCATCCTTGACTCACCACTCCTCCACACCTTCAACTCATCACTCACAAAGTCCTTTGCATATTTACCTCCTTATACATCTCAGATCCACCCCCTCTTTTACATCTTCATAGTAATGATGCTGGATCACTTCTGACCTACATCCCAGACTCATCTTCTGACCTTTCTCCACACAGGCCCTAGACCGTTTTCAAAATGCACATTTCCTTAAAAACTTTCATTATCTTTAGAATAAAACTAGAGGCCTGATGCACAAAATTCGTGCAAGAGTAGGCCTTCCGTCCCCTGGCTGCCAGTACCGGCTTCCCTCTGGCAACCAGGACCCAGGCTTCCCTTGTAGCCCTAGCTTCATCCGGAAGGTCGTCCAGAAGGACATCTGGTCTATTTAGCATATTACACTTTTATTATTATAGATTATATTCCTCAGTCTGGTATACCAGGCTCTTTGGGACCCAGCCCTGGTTAATCATTCCAACCCCATGTCTGAGATTCAGCATTCTGGTTAATCCCCTAATTAGAAGACCTATGGAACTTTACTGAGACCTTTCCCCCTCTAACAAAGTTTGAAACTCTAGCTTTTAAGCAGCTAGAATTCTATTCTCTTAATGTTCTCTGCTCTAAATCACCTCTAAAAAATGACAAATATATATTGGTTAATCCTCACCCGAGGTCATTTTCCAATGATTTTTAGAGAGAGTGGAAGGGAAGGGGAGCGACACAGAGAGATTCCCGTATGCACCCCAACCAGGGCTGGGGATCAAACCTGCAATTGAGCTACATACCCTTGACCAGAATCAAACCCACAACCCTTCAGTACGCAGGCCGATGCTCTATTCACTGAGCCAAACTGGCTAGGGCCAAAACAAATATATTGAGCATATACCTGACCAAAGTCATACCTGACCAAAGTCAACTAACAAGAGAATGGTGGTTTGAACTCAGATTACCAAGGGCATTACCTCCTGCCTGTTTATTCACAGTCAAACCGATTTCTGATAATGCAAGATAAAAAATGTGGAACCAGGTTAATATTTAAGTGCTTGATATTTATGTTTTACATAAGGCATCTCATTTATCCATTACAACATTTTCAAGTAAGCAAACTGCAGATCTGAGAAGGTTGTGCAAGGCCACACAGCTAGTAAATAGATTTGAATTCCCCCACCTCAACCTTATTAGCTGCTTCCTAACACCAATAAATTTCATTTTACAACTGACGAAACAGGTCCAGCCCAGGATCACATATCAAATCAGAGGCAAAGTTAGAATTAGAATCCAGGTTTCCTGACTCTAGTTGGCTGAGCAGATGCTAGTTTAAGAAGATTGGTGGAACCCAACTTTCCCCCTATTTGTAACAAATTTCTGAAAACTAGTACTACTCCTGAAGGGCTAAACCGACCTCTAGAGTTTCAGCTGTGGCTCTAAAACCTCTGCTGATACTGTGCTAATGCCTGCCCTGTGGCGTAGTCCTCCCCTTACCCACTTTTCCAACAGCCTCTACTCTCACTGCATCCACAGAATCAGGCTTCAGGACAAATCCCATTTCCCCCTGCCTCCTTCCAGTTTTCTATCTTCAGTAATGAGGTCCCATCTATTCGTCCAGCTCCAATGGCTTTCCCTCATGGTTGACCCAGGATCAAAGCCCCCTCTGCCATGCCTCTTAGAGGTCATTAGTTCTTTCCTAAATGCCATCCATTTTACTCTCTCCCTCATGCTAGCCTTCTTTCCCTGGATGTCATCAACTCAAGGATGACAGAGTTACCTTTGCTCAGGCTCTGTCCTTTTGGTTTAAATCGGGTTCAGGGTAATAGTTCCCCTGGTTACTTCTTTGGCCACAAATTACTCCCATATATTAAGGCATTCTCCCAAGAATGCTTTAGCTGAAATACACCCAAAATGCCTGGGTAAGGTGACAGATGAAGCATGTGTGGGATTAACTGGACTATTTAGCCAACACCAGGGCCCTGAATGGGGAAAGATTCAGAAAAGATGCTACTTGGCAAGGTGGGACATCACCACCAAGGCCCCATGAAGCTGAACAGAGGGTTGAAAGATGGGCAGGAATCTCAGACCGTCTTTACTTCCAGGTCAGAAGATCTTTCCCAGAAAGAGAGTGGAGTGTAGGGCATTTAGGCACAGAAAGGAGAAGGGCCATCAACCAGAAGAAAAAAAAAAAAAAGGAACAACAAGAACTGGTGACATTTAGGAGAGAATTCATAGGACTTCCAAGGAAAAGGCATGAATCTGTCACTCCCTAGCGTCAAAGGACTGGAGAAGGGCCCTCCAGCATTCAGGCAAAATTCCAATCCACTGTAAGAATGACATAAACATTTCTTCAAACACGTGGCATCCCTCTAGTTGAACACTTGCAGCACTGGGGAACACCCAAGCTTAGGAAATCAAGTTTATGAAGGCATGAGTGAAACTCAATTAAAGTTCAATTCATTTCCAAGTCAACAAATATCTATTGAGTGCCTACCATGTGCCAGGCACTGTACTGCAAGTATGAATAATATAGACATGGGTCCTGCTCTGTGGGTCTTATAATCTAATGTGGAAGATCGAAATATAAGCACGCAAGTAGAACAGGGGAAGGAGAGGGCGCTGCGCAAACATAAGGTGGGGTACCGAACACGAAGGCAGGCATCTAGGCTGGGGCTTGAAGAGTCTAAGGAGTTAGCTAAATGCAGGGTGGAGGGACCCATGGGAGTAACAGAAAACGGGTTCTTATGGCTTCTCTGCTTCCCAAGAAGTTCAGTGTTGCAATAAGGTGGAGTCCTGGCTGCCACCAGAGTGTAAGGCCATATTTCTCCGGAACCCGCCTGATCTCGGAGGCTAGTTCTTGGAAGGGAGACCTGGGAATACCCGATGCCAAAGGTTAAAAAAAAAAAAAAAAAAGGAAATAAAGTGGAGTCCAAATCTTGAAGGGTTTTTCAAACGATGTGGAGGAGTGTGGGTTTCATGCCTGAGGTAATGGGAAGCCTGTGAAGGATTCTAAGCAGGAGAAGCGCCCTCTGGCTACGCTAAGGGAGGCGCTGCGGTATCTGGCGTGAAGGAGGCCAGAACCTGGGCAGAGGGGATGGGAAGGCTTTCATGGCCCCAAACGTTATGATAAAAATAAATAAATAAATAACATACTCTCCTATGACAAGATAGAGACCAAAAAAAAGTAAAGGGATAAAGTTCAGAATGTGGTGGGAAGGTCTCCTCCGTCCCCTCTCACCTTTGTTGGGCAAACCAAAGCTGCTCGCCCTGGAATTGCCCCATCACCGCGGAGTGTGGGCCGGGGGGACGGCTCCACGCCTTCTTCTCGGATAGTAAAACTAAGACCACGAATTCCGGGGTGGGGACCAAGAAGAAAAAAGAATCCAAACGGCCTCCCAAGAGGCTCCCGAAGTCACGCACAATCCTTCGAGGTTTCCCCTTTCTCCCTCAGCCATCTGCAACCAGCCGCCTTTGCTATGGAAACAGTCCTCCCGCCCTCCTCAGAGCCTCCGTTTCTTCAATGCATCCTGGAAAATGCAGTCCATCTCTGGCCACCTCCCCGCGGCAGGAGCTCACTCCGGGTCCATGAAGGACTACAAGTTCCAGAAGGCAGTGCGAAAACGCAGGCGGTCTCTGGGGGATGTGGTCTTGATAGAGAGACCTAGGAACCCTCGGGCGGAGCCGAAGGGTGAGGGGAAGGCGCCCCCCCCCAATGGGCGGCCTCCTAGGCGGGGCCCGGGTCGCCATTGGCTATGGCGGCGCACAGGAGGCGGGGCCATCGGAATGAGGCGCGGAGCTGTTCTCCGCTCCAGGTGCTGAGTCCG